TTCTCCTTCCAAAGAGACATAAAAAAAAAAAAAAAAAAATTGAAATCAGTCGAGGACGTTTTGCAGATTTCTGATGGACATTCTTGGAGTAAATGTTGCATCGTTGAACTTTTGTTGTGCCCTTTTGTATGGAGAGAGACAAAATTAGGCAAAACAGCCGTGTAAACCGATATTAAGTATGATGTCTTTTTTGAAGGATGACATCATTATTTTAATTGAATGATGAAATCTTTATTTATACTTAGCGCACAACTTGTCGTTTGTGTCTGCTAATTTTTCTAGAATTAACCACCAAAACAAAAAGTCCAAGAGCAAGTGTGCTTCCTCGCCGAACAAGAACCACTGCAGTAAGACTCCTTTTTGACGCGCCTTCTCTAGCTCAACATGGAAGTTTAAAACGCCTTCATCCGGCTGAGTATGCCTTTTGTGGTACTCACAGGTGAATGGACCAGTAGACAACATACAACTTTGAGCATTCTGATACATGTTTCCGAATCGAAGTTTGAGGTACTACAGGATTCGCGCAAGCCTCCTAGTCAAGATATTGAATCTTTCTTGATGCGTATGTTCAAACCTCCCTCCCATGAAAAAAATGATAGTCTACGAGAGTCAAACTGCGCACTAAACGTAACCAAAATAGTGTCTGCGGCATGAATATATGGCAATCTAAATCTCAGCGCTTCGGCTCAGCGGTTGCACATTGTTAATACTCTGAGCAGCACGAAGTGGGGAGAGAGCATTGCTCCATTAAGAAGCCTTCCAAAACCGTTACAGTACGCGGTTTGATTCAAGTAGATTTTTGTTTTTCTCGTGAGCGGGGAATTCGAATTTCCCGTGACCAATGTGAATTAAAAACGTCAATACTTCAGTTAGGAGTTGATTTCAATAATTATCGTTCTGCAAATCGTGTCCTACATAACATTTTGATTAAGAATATGTAGCAGAAAGCTTAAATTCGTAACTTGTCTACTGGTCCACCGGAGACCAAAGATGCGCCTTCAAATTGACGGCTATGCAAAATGACTGTTGTGACGCACGTATAGTGGTATCGCGATTTCGCATTGAATTTACACAGTGTCTTGAAGGCGCTCCTCACTGGGTAGTGCCGTATGATATTTGTCTAGATAGAACAGAGTGGATAGAACGCCACTTTACGTTGTCTGAGTGCCGCTAGCATTTTTCCATCATGAACATAGGAGAAATAAGGCGGCGTATACCTACGTGAAATTCAGGTAGACTGATTCTAGTAGAGCTGTCTAATTTATAATGATCTGTTTTTTTCTCATGTCGGCCGTATGAGGACTTTTAATGTTACACTAGATTTCATCCGTGCTCGCTAAAATCAAAATCAGCTATATTTTACAGCTTTAAGACCACGATTTTTCTCCCAGCTGTAAACTATCGTATTAGGTGGATCAAACTTTTCGATATTTCTCTTTGTGACACTTGAACTCATCCTCAGCTCTGATCTATTTTGAGAATGAATTTACTAAAATTCTCACGATCAATCTGACTTCAAGTGCTCAGTCCACTCATGGATCCAACGCCGAGAATCAATCAGACAAGCAGCATCACACACCATATTTCATTTTGTTATAAGCTCCGCACTCTGAGACCGGAACACATTTATTCCTACTGAAGATGAGTCCTTTTCTTTCCTATCAAAGTTGCCAGGTTGAACCATTAAAGTTAGATATTTAACATATATGGGTTTAAATGAAGAATAGTGCTGTTGGCAACAATGTTTCCTATGTTACCACAAACATACATAATTTTAAGAATTATTTGTGATATCGAAGCTTTTCTGTAGAACTAATGGTTGTGGAAGTAGCATTGGTTAAAAGACATTTATTTTGTAAAAAAGCATAAGGCCAATCGTTGAAACTTCATCGAATTGAGTTATTTTGGGCAAAATAGGCAACAAAAAATAGCACTGTTAATGATGTCTCGAGGGTTAAAGAAAAAAAAGTCTCATCGTTAATTTTTGTTTGTTGCAACATTTGAAGGATTTGAGGATTCTATAGGAAACTATCTAGAGGATACGAATATAATTTTGCAAGAAACATGATGGTGCAACTTAGTAAGCTACGTGAAAGAACTATGATGACCAGTTGTTACATGAAGGAAGATCTTTACCCTTTTAATTAGTCGAATTTTTTGCGCAGTGATGGGACTAAATATAAAAGCAGGGTTGCCACTTGAGTGAAGGATCCAACGTCAAAAAGGCAGTTTTGAATCCAGTAAATGAAGGTGATAAGCTAAGTCTAAGGCTTTTCACGAAATTGCTTTTACCATACACCGAAAAAAGGGTGAATTTGATTGAACATTCTGGATGTAAAAAAGTGTGCGAGAACTTATACATTGCTGATTACCCGCTACAGCAGTTACTTTGGCAATGCCAAGATGTAAAACTAACTGCTGTGGCGGGTAATTTAGCATTTTATAAGTTCTCGCACACTTTTCCTAAATCCAGAATGTTACATCAACTTCACTTTTTTCGCGGTGTAGTATTCCTTGTCAAATAATACATGATTTTGAATGTAACCGCCTACGTTTTAAGTAATTAAAATATAGATTGGTAAAAATTTGTATAGATTCCTGTAGAGTAGATTGGTAGTTCTATAGGTTGTAGAGTTGGTCCGAAAAATCAGAATTTGATGTCGTATCGAACTGAAATCTTCATATACCACCCTTACTGTATTTTGGTTCGCAAATTGTTGGTGCTTTTGTCGCAAAATGTTTGTAAACGTTCCTGAATTCTTTGGTTTTATTGATTATATTTTCCTTGTTTTGTTAAAGCTCCTAATCCCCTGGACGGTCAAAAAACGTTATATCTTAGACGAGAAGACCTCAATTTCATTGTGAGGTTTCAAAATTGACTAAAACGATTGAAATTTCTACGAGAGTATAAAAGTGTAGATTTTCTAAAAAAATGTTGCTATTCCGGCAAGTAATTAGAGGAAAATCAGTAAAATTGTCAATTCAAAACGTTCATCAGTTTTCTCATTATCCTACTTATGAGTGGAAATATTGCAACGCTGAAAGGTGGTTACGTTATTTCGTCGAGGAGACGAAGAGGTGGGTCTAAAATCCTCCCATTTTCCAGAAGCCCTTTAGGAACAAATTTAACAGAAATGTACCATAATCGTTTTATCATCTTCATGAGAAAAATGAGTTATGAATAGTTTTGAATTCGAAAAATCATGTATTTTCTCCTGTCAGAGATTCGAAGTCGAGAAAAAATACTTCGAATTTGAGAAAAGTTGCTTGATTTTATCCTTAACGCTCAGTCTCATGGATGAATAACACCCGAATCTCTATTAAACTTAATGACTGCTGAATTCATAACTTATATCCAAATTTTTCTGATTATGCATGAATTTCCAAACAAAACCTTAAAATATGGGGCAGTACTTATAGTCTTTATATTCGGCGCTAAAAAATTACCCAGAAATCAATTTTAGTTTATTTTGAAGCCTTATCTTGGCTGGGAGTCAATGTTGCAAATAAAAATTACCTAGTAATCACCCATCACTTATTTTGCCTCATCTTGGTTGTCAGTCAATGTTATAAATTAATTAAGGCACCGAGAAGTGTTATTTTCTTTTCTATCCTAACCTATCCTATCCTATCCTATCCCATCCTATCCTATCAACAACTAATCATCTCAATCAGAATTCCAACATTAAATAAAATCACCAACGGCCCCATCTATCTGTGGTATTAAGATAAATTGGACCGCATTTTGCAATTTGGAACTATAAATTCTAGCCCGGTTTGAAAACAACGTATGTGCCATTAGTTTCCCTATGCACATAAGTGTTTTTTCAGATGAGCCAGAATTTATAGTTCCAAATTGCAAAATGCAGTCCAATTAACTTTCATTAAAGATAGGCGATCTTATCATGATTGATTTAAAAGATCAACACTTACTTGGAGCTTTTTAATGACCTTGCATTTTCTAACCAAATAGAGAATCCTTGGTTTAAAACCACTTCTACCATAATAGGTATAAATCTATGGTTAACCTCGCAGTTTTCTGAACATTGCCCAAAATTTGCTCCTTACATTGCTCCTTTCCTATCCTATCCTATCCTATCCTATCCTATCCTATCCTATCCTATCCTATCCTATCCTATCCTATCCTATCCTATCCTATCCTATCCTTATCCTATCCTATCCTATCCTTATCCTATCCTATCCTATCCTATCCTATCCTATCCTATCCTATCCTATCCTATCCTATCCTATCCTATCCTATCCTATCCTATCCTATCCTATCCTATCCTATCCTATCCTATCCTATCTAATCCTATCCCATCCCATCCTATCTTATCCTATCCTATCCTATCTCTTTCAATGTCTCATTTTTCCATCAGCCGGGCAACACTGGGGATGAGTAATGGTCAAAGCGTGGTGATTGGTCAGTCGTCGAGCTGGACAGCGAGTGCCTGGATGCGAATGACATCAGTCCAAATAATTGAGCATTGAGAGGGCCCCCCTTTCGCCCCCTGGATCCGTGCCCCCCCTCCCACCCCCTGCGGCACATTACGGCTGGGACCTCTTTGAACCCGGCCCGTCGTCGGCTCGGTTGTGAACTATTTAAACAAGTCCTCCTAAGAGTCCATTCGGTCCATCCAAAATGGAAACTACTACACTGCCAACACAAAGAAGAATTCCTAACTTTACAGGGGGGTCTCGGGGTCGTTCTCCGGGAAATTTGGAAGAATTAAGCATTCACAGGAGCAATTTTCAGCCCTTCTTACCGAAAAATTGATCCGATTCCAATTTCCAAGATGAAAGATATGTCATGCGCTCTTTTAGAAAAATCCTCCATACCTCTTGGAGGAGCAAAGTAGATTTCTGGAAGTGGGGGGAGGGGGGGCAATGTTACCGGACCCCCTATTTTTGCTAATGTGTATTAGTGTCCTAAAGTATACTCTACCTAGAAGCAATTACATTTTTTTAGTAGAATTTAATAACTGAAAACACAGAATCTATTTAATTTATTATATTATATTTGTCACACTTTTTTCACTTCTATTACATCTCTTATAATTATCATTATTCGTTATTTCTCTTCGTCTGCGGACATTTACAAGTTTTGCGCTGACGTTATACGTAATCATCAAGTATAGATGCAGCTTCGACTTGGCAGGTTTCTGGAACTTCTCATGGCGTATCCATTCACACTAATCTTGAAAACTTCAATGTTTCTAATGTTATAGTTGAGACGCATTTTAGAGGACTTCCTTCGAAAATCCATCCCTATTCTCTCTTGCTAAAACTTACCTATCCCTAAAAAAATTTTATCCAAGAAAGAAGATTTGGAAAAACTCGACTTTCGCCCATTCCAAAATGACCTATCTACTCACGATTTTTTCCTTTTAGAAACCTTATCTCATTCTTTTCTTTTGAATATTTTGGCCCTATCAAGTTTGCACCGCATTCAGGAATTCTTGCTCCATCGGGACAACACTCATAATTTCCGATTCCACCGCGTAAAAGTCTAACTTTATCGGTGCATGACACTGCTTTATTAGCCCTATGTAATTGGTATGCACTTTTATAATATTCGTGCAGTACAACACAGAGTGATTTTGTTGATGAACAGTCACACATATTAGTTTTTCTCAATAAGTTTTTTGAACTCCTAACCTATACGTGGTCACATTTTCTGCGTACAAAACCTGAAGATGTCTATAATAGAATACTGTGCCGATGTTTATGTGAAAAAATTGATGAAATGGTTAATGCTAATGAGGCAGGCTATTTTACACTCTCACCAACCAATATTGCTGATAGTTTAGGTAATGCCCGCAATTCTTACATTAAATTGTCTCCAAAAGGCAACTCCAAATTCTGATCACTATATCATTAGTGCAAAAAGTTAAAGTGACCTAACTGGTGGCCACCTTTGGGAAACCTAGTGATGAATTCTGAAAATAAAAGAAAGAAAAAAAATTTGGTTCATTGGTTTTTGAATATTTTTAAGGATTTTAAAGTTTTAGAATAAATTAAGATGCTTGTGATTTAAAAATCAAAGTTTTTTCCAGTGATTCAAGGTGCCGAAGCTGGAGACTATCACACAATATAGCTCGATTTTAAGAATTGGTGCTGGTTCTCCCTTCACAAGATTGAGAAGACATTCAACCCTCGGTAAAAATGTATCCTGATAGACGATTGCACCGTATTTGTCTCGCTACCCGTTTGTAAATGACTACAAACGGCATTTTTTCAAAAATTACACTCTTTTTGCTTAAAATGTGACGAATCTGACCTTGCAGCAGTGAAGCAATCAAAATTATATCAAGGTGGATCTGGATGCCAAGTTTTTACAGTGTTAACAAAACAATATGTATCAACATGTGGTATATGCCATCCGGTGGATTTTTTGCAAAAATAAAGGTTAACCCTCCACGTGAGCCTCGAAGTTAGCCTCCCTCACCATACTCAATCAAATTTGATGATAAAACTAGGAAAACAAGTATCCAGACCTAGATTTCTGACATCAAATTTAATGAATTGGTCGTCGGTAATTTCAGAATGACTTTGTATTGTAATCATTGGACTCTCGAGCAATAAAGTGAAACACGCAATTAAGTAATAGTTGTTTAAACACGGAAAAAAAAAAAAAAAAAAAAAAAAAAAAAAAACGTTGATCGCACAATGCTCGTGGTGGATTTCCTGTTCAACTTACTTTTTTAGTTATAGTTACAATTCTATACTTTTGTGGTAATACTTCTGAGAATGTAGGTTAGACCTTACATCCACGTTGAGCCTCGTAAGAGCAGCGAATCCTCTTTCTCCAAACAGTAGAAATTATCTATATCGATGACTAAAGCTTTATTTTCTAAAAAAAAGAACTATGATCTAGATATTTCTTTCCGTTTCTTCGTGATTTTTTAGATAACTGAAGATGACTCATGGATGATTTCAATACAAACTGTTGGTCAGTTTTTCTCCAAATAATGAAGCATTAATGGACGCTTACGACGTTGCGATTTAAAAAGCGGGTTTTTTCTTACTATAGCAATCGATTGGACCACGTTTAGCAGAAAGGAACTAAGCCACATCAGCTAATGTCGAACTTAACTGGGAAATTTAATGTTTGAAAAGAGAAATTTTTATGCGGACTCCTTTGAAAATGTTAAAGAATTACCTTCGTACTATGCAAACAATTCATTGTAATTTCCCCCAAAATCCGCACAGCCGTTTTCATATAAATAATTAAATTGCCCAATTCAATGTGGCAACAGCTGACGTGGCTTGATTCCTTCCAGTTTAACATGGTCCAATTACGAATAAAATAACATCTGCGGACCGATTATTGAAACTGATAGACAAAGCAATAGACAAAGACGACAAAAGGGATTTGGAGGGATCCTATTGGTGGAAACGGGTTGTTGCAATGGACAAAGGAGGTAGGTAATCGACTAACTAACGGCAACCCACGAGAAACCCGACAGTTAGTCTATCATTTTCCCCCTTAGTCGATGAGAACCACCCATTTCAACCAATAGAATTGCTTTATACTTCCTATGTCATCTTTGTCTATCGCTTTGTCTATCAGTTTCAATAATCGTCCCGCTGGTATAGCGTTAAGATGCAGTGACGTGGCGCGCTTTGCGATTCATCGATTGTTCTGCCTTGTAAAGGTATGGAAAAGGATCAAAAGGATCGATAAACAAGGTGTTCGCAACGAACACCTTACTAATTGATTCTTTCCCTTACCTTCAAATGGAGAACTATCGATTATCGATCGTTCAAGCCTGGCCACTGGTAAGGTGATTCAATGGACGCCATATTTTGTGTCAGAACGGCATGCGATATATCGCATCAATTGGTTCCATTTTTTCAGCTACTCGTCATTTCTCTCCAATTTTGAGATCGCAACTCTCTTGTCAGGAGACTAAAACACTAAATTACCAATTTTAACAAAGAAATTCAACGTAATAAAGGCGTGGTTTTTTTTAGAGAGAAAACATCGCATTTGATACTGCTATCGAAACTGCACTCGAATGCGATATTTTCTCTCTAAAAAAATTACGCCTTAATTACGTTGAATTTCTTTGTAAAAATTGGTAAGTGAGTGCTTTAGTCTCCTGACAACAGAATTGCGATCTCAAAATTGGAGAAAAATGACGAGGAGCTGAAAAAATGGAACCAATTGATGCGATATATCGCACGCCGTTCTGACACAAAATGTGGCGTCCAACGAATCACCTTAAGATGCTTCTGTATTCTGCCAAACTGAAGAAGAACGCCGTATGAACATTCGAGTGTTGCCAAATTTTCCTTGGTAAAACATGTAGTTTTGACGACATTTACGCTTATTTTTCCTTGAACTTTTCAGATAATTTAAATTAAATTGCGTGCAAAATTGAAAAAAAAATTGGAGAAAAATATGTACAATTTTTCCAGCTAATTCTGTTTTTATCGACGGAAATTCGGCAACGTCTGAAGGCTCATACGGTGTTCTTCCTCAGCACGGCAGAACGGCGAGGAGGAAAAGGGAGAAAACGTTAGCCTACATACGGAATACATTCAAGAGGGGTCGAAACTCACTCGAATGGCCAAAAAACACCCAAAAAATTGACAGGTTTGAGGAAAGCGATTCTGCCCACTGGAACCAGGGTTACGGAATGGCGGATAATCATCATCGATTGTGCCTCGCGGAGAGCTAGAAACGTGGCGTGTTTTCCTCCTGGAAATGGAGAGCTAGAAGGACGGTTCGAGGCGAAAAAGGCCGGGATTTTGATGGATCCGACACGAAACGGATTCTGATGAACGGTGGCTAGGCGTGCTTTGCGATATATCGATTGGTCTGCCGTTTGAACCTATAGAAAATTATCGATAAACAGGGTATACCTCAATAATCGATTCTTTACCATAGGTTTTAATGGGGAGATATCGATGATCGATTATCGCGCGTCGCCGCTGCTGATGAAGCAGAGCCCTCGCACGCAGGCATGTGTGATTGTGAAAGCGTAAACACCTGTTCAAGTGGTGCGTGATTCCGAAAACGGGGCCGCGGCTCGAAAAAGGGGCTGACTTTTCACCGATACGAAAAATCGTGATTCGCGACGGAGCGCTGCTGGAAATTTGTCGGGAAAACGAAAACGAAGTTTCTCGTTTTGGATCGAGTTATACAATCTGGGTGTATATATGCTGAAAGGAACTATGTGCATAGGGTTTTGCGAGTAACATAGTTCTTTTTAGCATAAATACGTCCAATTTTTCATAAAGGCAAATAAATTTGAAAGGATGAATGGCAAGTAAAAAGAAAACTTCACAAATAAATTGATGACAAAAAAAATATCTGTAGCACTATGTGTTTGGTGTGTTGATGAAACACACTCTTTCCATATTTTCACCTTGTCTTAAAATGTGGTAAAATGAAAAAGTGTTTCTTGTTTTTCCGTGTATAACAAAACTTATCACTCAATTGCGTACTTCACTTTTTGGCAGGAGTGTTCAATTATGCTACAAGAAATTTTCAAAAATTGACGTTGAGTAGTTTCCCATTTAAATATTAAAGTATCACAGTAAGTCTGCAACGTTATTCTGACACTTCCATAGTCGATATAGTGTGTTGATGAAACCTAATATTTCCATCTTCCACCCTTGTCCTAAAAGGGTAAATGATACACCTTCAATTATCAAATATTAACTTATCGGTATCATATTTGCTCACTCAATTCGATTATACGAATAATAATGTATATTTGATTGATATTGGGACAATTAGACGTCAGAATTTCAGTGAGACGGCGCGATCTCCTGTATGGAAAGATGCTGAGCTTTGAATATGATGTTGAATTAAATTGTCATTTTCTATTGCTTTTCCGCAGAAACGAAGTAAGAGAGGCAAGAAAAGAAGGACAACTTTTTTCGGAATTGCGACCCAAAGCAGGTCTGGTTCTCACTGCCTTTAAAAAAAATGGTATGGCCTGGAGATCATCTTCGTCTCCTCTTCGTTAGGATTTAACGGGTGGAGGGTAGAGATTCACTAATGAACGGAAATTTCCAACATTATTATTGATTTTGTGAAAAACTTTGATAGAAAACACGGTTTCATGTTGCCTTGCTCTCTAGTCACTATATGTGTTCTGTTTCTGCGTGTTTGTGCTCTGAGTGCAGCAACGCAGTACTTATAGTCATATTATACTTGTTGTCACGAATGTGCCTTTAATACTTTATAGAATTACCAAATCTCAAACTGAATGATATATACCTAAATTTTGCCTCAGATTTGCTTTAAATTTGTTACAGTTGCGTTTGGAAGATCAAACTTTCATTTCACGTATATGTTTATCCTAATATCAAAGAGCCTCTGTCACCCACGAAGTAATGAGAACTGCACATGTTAAATTTTATCATTTTCAGGTTTAGAAGGCAGTGAACATAACTCCGTAAAAAAGTATTCCTTCTTTTTTCCTGTCCCGTACATATACCTGTTTATTGTATAATGCAGGATTTGTAGTTGCTATCCATTAAAATCCAGAATATTCGACCAAGGTTGAAAACCGGCAAACTTTCAACATTAATGGAAAACATCAAACTAGGAACACGCAAGGATGTCAGAAAGCCATTAACTGCTAAGGTCGACCATAAAAGCTTTTCTGGAATAGGTTTTTTCGCAACAGTCAGCATGCCGTCTAAAAATGGTAACTTTTCCTCTTTTTCGCTGTAACTCTTGTTTAAAACATGCATCGACCTCACCAACTCACCAAGCCGAAGTCTGGCTGAATTTTTTTCCGTTGCTCAACTTTACCACGTAAATATCAGAAGTTTTCCTTCACTGTGAAAGCTTATACGTGGAAAACCTCGACCAAAAATGCGCAAAAAATGAGTAAAAATTCACAAAAAATGGTAGTTTACATGAGTCTGGCCGTCCACGAGAAAAGGACCTATTGATCTCAGAGTTTTTTTAAAACATTTTGGTACAAAAACACCCCGAAAGATGTAAAAAATAAGACATATATTAAATTGAAATATCTGCGACTGAAAAAAATACGAGATATTTTTGAGTAGCACATATTTTGAAGCGACGCGATTTGAAGCGTATTATTTAAATCTTCATTTTTCTACGTAAAAAAGAAAAATAAATTTTGAGCTGAGCCTTCGTGATATTTACATTATGAAAAGTTACATCTTTTGTAAGTCAGAACTAAGGGGTGTGAAAACTTTTAAGCGAAGGTTAAAATAACTAATAACAAATCGTTCTCAAGCTTATGCTGTCCGTAATCTGAGGAAAAAGATGCTTAAAAAACGCAGTATCGTTTGCCAGCTGGAAAAATATACCTTATTTCCAAGGTTGCAAAATTGACATAACAGTTTCAATCTTTCACAAGCGTATAACTAAGCGCCAAATCTGAGAAGATGACTTTTGGCGGTGATCAGCAAAGCATTGAGTTGGAGGATGGGCAGCAGATCAAATGCTGCGAGCACTTCAAGTACTTGGGAGTGCGGTTGACCCAGGATGGAAGGACGGATCAAGCTATCAGGGAAAGGAACACCTTAGCAAGGAAGGCTATAGCGATGTTAAATGGAATCCTCTGGGATCAGCGGATTTCCAAAGATAACAAGAGGAGGATATACAACGCTGTAGTCAAAAGTATATTAACATACGGATGTGAAGTTTGGCAGCTGAAGAAACGGACACAGGATATGCTAAGAGCAACGGAGATGGATTTCTGGAGAAGGTCAGCAGGAATTTCTAGGAGAGATCGGGTCCGTAATGATAGAGTGCGTCAGATAATGGAAGTCGAAAATGACATCGTGTTCGACGTCATGACCAAACAACTTGTTTGGTATGGTCATGTCAATAGGATGACGGAAGAGAGGCTGCCAAAAAAGATGCTTGATTGGGTTCCTCCTGGGAGGAGACGTAGGGGACGCCCAGTGAGAGGTTGGCGACAGGGGGTGTTAAATGAGATAAGAGATTGTCAACTCCCTGATGACCTGTGGGAAGACCGAGCTTTGTGGCGATTAGGCGTCGCACAGCGCCAAAGAGCGCTATAAAAGCGACATATATATATATATATAACTAACTAAGCGCAATTTAGCTTCAAAATTTTTCTGATTATTCCATTCATTCGGTAAGATAATTTAGTTGAAGTTTGTATTCGAAGCGCGTAACTGTTGATACCATTGTAAAAATATAATTTACGATTGGAAATTTGCAACGTTAAAAATTATTTACGCTCCTTTGAGTTCCCTGTTGGGATTGATTAAAAAAATAGGTCAAGGTCAATGTGAAATGTGAAAAGTTAGTATTATTTTAAAATCACGCACAGATATAAATGGACGTATTTCTACCACACAGAAGTATGTGCATTTTGACGTGAGCCCTGTTATGCATATATTCTTATGGGTCTAGGGCTCTCGTCTCAATACACATTGTTCCGTTTGACAGAAATACGTCCAAACAGCATAAAGTATCAAACCGCAAGTATTTAATTGCGATGCATACCATCGTGTTTCTCGCGAACTTTTACATAAGAATCAACGGTCAAATCGCAAATTCCTCACACATGCAACATCTTTATTACCAGGTATTCCATAACGTCATTTTGAATCGAACATGTATCGAAAAAGTGACCCGAGCTCGGCGCACACCGGGCTAATTTTCAGTGAGCAGGAATCATTGACTTATAGCACAATCTAGACCGCGCACTAGGCCCGACTTTAGGCGGGGGTAAGACAGGTAGCGGGGTAAATCAGGCTAAAGACGCGCCTTCAGCTTAGTTGATACAGCCGGATATACGAACGAAGTGTACCAGGCAACGGCTAACGGCACACGGTGGATCGAGTCAATGGTAGAGGTCGGTCATGGGCGACGAAAAAAAAAGTCTGATTTTAAATATTTTTTCTTGGTTTTCTAGTAGTTATTCTTCCAAAATGAATGTATCCACGGTTCTAGGATCTTTGAACCCTTCCGCTTTGACATGCGGGTTGCCTAAAGCTGACATTGCAGGTGGTATCAAATTTGCCGTCTAATTCTCAAGGTTTTATTTCGCTTTTGCATGAGTTCTGTGGCAGATAAATCAAAATTTCAATTAAACATGCTTATTCTCCTCCCATTAAGGAACATTTTTGTATATCATTAATGTGCATTGGCATATTTTTAGGAGGACCAAAACCACCTTCAAAGCTTGCTTTAAAAAAAACGCCGAAAAAAATGTTAAAATAGCTCGATAAAAAAATGTCCACAAGTGTCCGCAAAATCCTTTGTTGGGTTGCCTCCTGTACACTATCAGGAATGATATTATGTAATAATTAGCCGCTAATATCCGCTAATCTGCGAAAACGGTCCATTTGAATGATGGGAAGTCGCGCCTGCTGGGAATCCGATCTTGCTCTATTGTCATCAATAAAATCGTGCATCACACGATATCCTTCAATCTCGATAATTTTTCTTCTGATTACTGATTTTGGCTTATTTGTTGATATTTTTGGACGAGACATTAACCTTCTGGTAGTCTTTGAAGCTGATTCGATCAGCGTTATACTGTGCGATAAAGTTTAAGGTGAATGTTTTGCGCATTGTATATTTCACACGTCCCGTTTCTTGCAAAATGTCTTCAACATACCTAGAACTCTTTCATGAGCTCCATACAAATAAAATTTCAACTCTCCCCCCCCCTTGGAGGATGACAATACTTTCTCTACCCTAGGGTAGCGAGAAAATGAAAATTGGTTGTGGGTTGAAAA